TAAGCTGGCATTAGTGCTGGACAAACTCTTGGATCCAACAATGCACCGGATGTACAAGTAAGTTGAGCGCTTTTTTCATTTGGCGGTACAGCAGTAACGCCCTGTTCTGTTCAACAGCATGTCGTTTTTACGGGCAAACCTCCACTGAATCGGTGACAAAAGTTTACAAACATCCCCAAAAAAAGTTGATTTTAAGTTGTACGAATGTGAAATGTCTGCTTTTCTACAGAGATCATGAGTCGAATGCAGCGTTTTTCCTGGAACAGGACCCAGTATTCAGCAAATGTTTTAATGGTCAGCGACCGCGTTTCCCCTTTATGGATGATTTCTGCCAAGTGAATTTCAGCGAGAAACGAAGTGGTGTGTAGTCAATAATTTTTATTATTTTTCTCGCTCCCATTTTGGCCCGTTATTACTTGTTTTCTTCTGCTCTTTCCAATTGTTCACATATTGAGAAAACAAATTTTGGATGCCGCAAAATGGCGGCCTGATTATGCCGGCAGTGCTTAAACATAGGGGAAGAGCCATAGGCTGTAAAGATTTCAGAGCCATCATCCAGACGATCTTTGCAACTACACTGAAAATGTATTTTATTTATCAGCAGTAAGCACACCATTTGCTTTTTAAGGGCAGCGTATTTCTCTCGAATGATTCTCGAAGAGGTAGCCGTTGTGCATAATGAAGAGGCAGTAGAACTGGATGTCACGCACCAAAAAACAGAGGTCTTAGTATAGTTACAAAGAACATGCAGCTGCTTTAAGAAAAGGTGAATGGTACTTGAGCTTGGCAAAAAAGGGGCATAAAAAGGTCGTGATAACAGCTGTGTGGTTTCCCCGGCAGTCTATGCTGTGGGAGATGAAGCTTTAACTCTGTGCATTCGGCTACCACTCTGACTTCTGATTATACCAGTAAGTGACTTATTGCCATGTGCTGTACCTCTTATTGCGACTGAAGCACTCACGTGCTCCTCGGTAGCAGCTTGCTTCTTTCATTCAACTGTTTGAAGCAGCAGCTCTGATTCGTATGGTCCATCGCCCTTTGCATATCGTTCTTTTCAAAGTTGTTTTGGCCCAGTGCTGCATCGCATAGTATCATCTTGCTGGTTATTTTGACGCTCGTTTTGTCTCCTCAGATTTGGATTGCTGAAGCCATTTAACTCCGAAAGGGCGTTTGCAAGTGGACTTTTCCGTTTTACAGACGTTTTTTGTGATTTATTCTACATCTACAAAACGCCACTGAAAATCAGCCGACTTCTCTCTTCAGTCACTGTCGCAGGACCAATCCAGCTTCTCTCTTTGGCGAAGATCGCAATATTCATTAAGGATCAGCAGTTTTCCGATGCCAGCCATGCGTGGTTTCAGAGCCCTTTGAGTTTCTGCTAGCTTTCGTTTCAACCAGTATAACAT